CAGTAGGCCTGTTAAAGCTTATACACATAGGAGATTCTGTATTTTCAGTGTTCATCAATAGCACAATATTTAAACTAATTAAAATAATTCATGTTCACACTCTTATCATACCATACCATTTTATTTATAGAGCACTTAAAACAGCGACAAGGCCAACTAAAGTGCTGTACAGACAGAAAAACAGGCAACACAAAGAAATATACAAAATGAGGTAAATCAGAATATAGATGTAAAAACAATGCAGATAATAAATGACGACTAAACAGTGTGGAGCATACAGGTTCAAAACACAGATCATCTGGTGTTGAAAGCTACTGAATAGTAGGTCATGGTCACAAAAGCTGATTAATCCCTCCAGAAAGATTCCCAGTTGAGATTCGATCCAGCAATTTTCTCGCCGAGAGGCAACAGCTCTACCAACTACTACTGTGACGCCCAGAATTAAAATGTTGTGTCATAATAGGCACAAGAATAATTACCTACTTTTAAATATTTTGTATTATGTTTAAGAGTTTCTAAACATTTGTAATTAACTTTCTTGTAGAAGCACATGTAATGAACACATTACTGGCAGTTTACACATTTAAGGTAAGGAATTAGTGATAAAAGAAACTTTTTTGAATTTGTGTAAATCTTCAATGGACATATAGAATATGTCTTAATAACTGTTAGGGCCTGTAAATACGCTATAACTACGTATAAAAAACGAAGCTAATGCTTTTGATTAGCCCTTAAACATTCAATATCTTAATAATTTACCAGCATAAAATGATATTTTCAGTGCAACGAGTTACTGGACTCATGATAATCCTCATTACAGATGAATATGTTTTAAAATGGGTACTAAACTAAAACAATGTCCAGACAAATAAAAAAGAACATACAATATGAATATTGATACATTAAAGAAAACACACAACACAATACATTAAAAATGGCAGCGTAAGAAAACTAAATTCTAATGTTTTCTTGTTTAAACTTGACTCCAGTATGTTCTGTAATTTACTGTGCAACTTCATTGGTCAATGTAATTTATCTTTAGTAAATATTTTATTTGATAAGTTCAGTCAAATTTTGGTTTCCTGCATTACATCTTATCTTGAAATTAAAAGTATTGTATAATCTTTTTGTGCGTGTGTTTTGAATAAAGCAAGAACTGTTATTGTAAAAAGCACAGTATGGCAGCACAGTGGCTTAGTGGTTAGCATTGTTGCCTCACAGGAAGAAGGTCCTGGGTTCTGTCCCGGGTTTGTTTGGAGTTTGCATGTTCTCCTCGTGTTCCTGTGGGTTTTCTCCGGGTACTCCGATTTCTTCCCACAGTTCAAAACATGCATGTTAGGCTTCCTTCAGGCTCAGAGCTGCCTGGCAAAAACGATGTGTGATCCGGGGTTTGCCTGCTTAAATAAAGATTAATAAATCCATAATGGAAAACTCAAAAGAAAACCCATAGGTTTAACAATTAAATTAATGCTGAAATAGGTCTTCAAACACAGTTGAGACCCGACACAAGTGAACAAGCCAAACTATTTGTATTATATATATATATACTGTATATAGATATATATAGATAGGGTAAATGAGATGTTTATGACTTTAATAGTAGCACTCTCTTTTGTAGTTTTTAAGTCTAATATAAAATCATACTTTTTATTGCCTGGCCTTGGACCCATATATGAGTGGATTTAAACCGTATTGTGTTTTTATCGATCTACATGTTTAAATTGTTTCTTTTTTAAACTTCTGTTGATTCGTGTATTTCATCCTGTGTTTGTTTTTATTGTACAGCACTTTGGTTGGCCTTGCTGCTGAACAAAGTGGTGCATAATCATCCATCCATCCATCCATCCATCCATCCATCCATCCATCCATCCATCCATCCATCCATCTATCCATCCATCCATCCATCCATCCATCCATCCATCCATCCATCCATCCATCCATCCATCCATCCATCCATCCATCCATCCATCCATCCATCCATCCATCCATCCATCCATCCATCCATCCATCCATCCACTTTTTCTTCCCAGGTTGCAGCTTGTGTCTATCTTCAGAGGCGAAGTACTCCTAGTCTCAAGACAAAAAAAGTTACTAAGCTTTAAACATGCTAGAAATGTATTGTTAAAATAATGTAGCTATGATTTTGTGCCTTTAAAGCAGATAAATACGAGAGTAGATAAAGTGTTATAGTAAAATATTAAGCAGACACATGAGCACAAAATGATCCCTTGATCAATTTATTCTAAGGCTATCAAACAACACACATTATTTTTCCATCATTATGTCCTTCGGTAATTAACTCCAAAGTATTGTGTGTCTTCCAACTAATTTGCATAGCGTAATGCACTATTTATTATAATGAATGATAATGAAGACTTTATTTTGAAGAGACTTGATATTCGTGAGAAAAAAAAGTCAGTTTTTCAGCTGCAGTCACTTAATTCTTTTAACTGGAAGTTTTGATGAAGAAATAAACAAAACAGGAGAGTTATGAAAGAGAAGAGTTTTATCATTTTGATTCATTTTGCACTTTTGGGTGCTCCAGGTGTCAATAAATATTTGGCATAATTTGATATATACTTTGCAAACCCCCCCTTTTTTTGGAAATATTTGTCTTGTGGAAATCAATATGTGGCATTCTGCAGGCAACTGATTTTGGGGGAAAACATTTTATTCTAAGTTATTTTTACATTAAAAAAAGAGTCTTAATTTGCCAGATCTAAAGTGGAATTTTAGAATACAAGACATAAAAGTTTACAGTTAGTTTTCTTTAAACACAAAGAACAAAACACAGACTTTTTACATTACACAATATTTAATACATTTAAATTAGGATTTAGATTTTTATGTTAAATTCCAAATATTACAAGAAAGTGCCTATTTACTTCAAATTGCCTAATTTTACCAGCAGATGGCATCCAAACCTTTGATTTGGAAACAGCTAGCACAGATGTTTTACTATTTATTGCCTGCAAATAAAGAACATTAGTTCAGAAAAGTGATGTGGTTATTTTTAAAGGGTATCAAGAGAGAGGACAAAAAAATGTTAGAGGATTTTATTCATAAAACATAAATATTGTCAAAGGAAAATAAAGGCACTCACAGGAATAGCTCTGTAAACAGCTATTGGAGTGAATACCCTCAATAAGTGGACGCGACCTATTCTCTTTCATACCACCCCCCACACATTGAGCACAGGCGATGTTGTGAGAATGTTTGTCTCTCTTTTTCTCCCCCACAATGAATGTCTTGAATGATAGGAGAGACAACAGAGGGGAGTGAGAGCGAAGGCCGAAGAGGAGGAGTGAAAAAGAAAAAGAGAGAGATGCAAAATCAGCCTTTGCCCTGCAGTTTGGTATGACACTCATTATCTGAAGTGGGCTACTCGGAGAAAGGAGGAGGTTGCCTGTCACAACAGATGTTGATTACACAAAACAGAGTTGTTTGGAAGGATGTGTGAATAAAAAAAGCATCTCTCCCTCTCTCTTACACACTGGGTTATTGCTGGCGCTTTGTCATCAGTCTTAATTGATTGTAATCACCATTCCTTCTTGGCAAACCCTGTTCTTGAAGTGCAACTTATTCCTAATTATCTAAGATGGAATGGACCCACAATATTCGATCAAAATAACAGTGGCATTATTTGTGCACCTGGAAACAGATAGCTCGTTTTCAATCTGAATGTATTGTCGTTCGTGTTGCTGTTGCAGTTTGTAAAAGTCTTTGTCGAGGCAGCAGGGATAAATTAAAGATTGCTTTTAGGGATAAATATTTTACTTTAAAAATAGATTCTCAGAATATAAACAATAATTTGTTGTTTTTGGTTTTTATTAAGTCTCATTATGGTCAAATGGTGGCACTGCAGGCTCACAAATGCAGGCGGCCCTTCTCCTGGCCTGGCTGCCTGACTGATTCCAATCCAAGGTTTGAAAAGCACTTGTCTGCTCTAAATTGTTCTTATAAAGAGCTTGGAAATACTTGACTTTTCTCCTTCTGTGGTTATGGATTTCCTTTTTGTGCAATTAAGTGCCATTAAAAGCTAATGTCTCCTGTTAAACTACATTAAGTTGCTACGGTGAGCGGTGGCACCGTTACCTATCCGCGTATTTTGAACAGGGGTCCACTTTTGGTGTATTTTTTTTTTATCTATATGTGGCCATTCAGAAAGTTGGGGATGAAAAGGATCCGAAGAGAAACATCCACA